GAGGCTCTGTCTCAAAAAAAAAAAAAAAAAAGTTCCCTAACAGGGAAAGAGGCAGAGCAGAAACGGGGAAGAAAGAGATTAGGAGGGTAACATTAATGATTAAAAAAGCTTGGGCGGCACCTGTGGCTCAGTGAGTAGGGTGCCAGCCCCATATACAGACTGTGGAGGGTTTGAACCCAGCCCCGGCCAAACTGCAACAAAAAAATAGCCAGGCATTGTGGCAGGCACCTGTAGCTACTTGGGAAGCTGAGGCAGGAGAATTACCTAAGCCCAAGAGCTGGAAGTTGCTGTAAGCTGTGATGCCACAGCACTCTACCAAGAGCAATAAACTGAGACTCTGTCTAAAAAAAATAAAAAAAATAGGGCAGCGCCTGTGGCTCAAAAGGGTAGAGCGCCGGTCCCATATGCCGGAGGTGGTGGGTTTAAAGCCAGCCCCTGCCAAAAATAAATTAATTAATTAATGAATTAATAAAAAATAAAAAAGCTCATAAAAATATCATAGGCTAAGGCCAGCCGTGGTGGCTCACACCTATAATCCTAGCACTCTGCGAGGCCAAGATGGGTGGATTGCCTGAGCATACAGCTTGGAGACCAACCTGAGCAAGAGTGAGACCCAATCTCTAAAAATAGCTGGGCATTGTGGTGGGTAACTGTAGTCCCAGCTACTCAGCTACTCAGGAGGCTGAGACAAGAAAATCACTTGAACCCAAGAGCTTGAGGCTTGAGGTTGCTGTGAGCTGTGACACCATGGCATGCTACCAATGGTGACAAAGTGAAACTCTGTCCAAAAAAAAAAAAATCACAGGCTAGTATGTATGGACTGTTTACATTGTGCTAGGCATTGAGTTATGTGCTTTACATGGATTGTCATATGTAATCTTAATAGCTATGCTATAAAATGGTAACTATTTAAATCTCCATTTTTATAATGAGAAAACTAAACCTAGCGGTATTAGGTAACCTGCCCAAGGGTCACACAAAAAAGTTGCAGAGTCAGAATTCAAGGTCTCT